CTTCAGTAGGATTTTAAAAACAACTTTGATTTTGTTTTCAGTGCAGTGGGGGAGGGGGGGACACAATCCAAAACGACCGCCTCCTACCTCAGGACTTGGGTTGGGTTCAGAGTTCAGCCAATTACAATGTGCCTTTAGATTCATGAGTCATAGTATCGTGGTCCACATTATTCAAAGTGAGGAATGACTTCAACCCAGTGCTTTTCCCCTTCTGACTAGGAGTCTGAAAATGCGTCAGGCTTCTTTTGTCCTACGCCTTTTTTTTCTTTTAAATTTTTATTAGTGAAACATCATGAGGTACAGTTGTAGACTTATAATTTTTGTGCTGGGGTTTCAGTTATACAATGATCATCTACCCATCCCTCCACCACCACTGATCCCAGTATCCCTCCCAACCCCCCCCCCCCCCCCATCCCACCCTGCCTCTGTGGCAGGGCATTCCCTTTTGTTTTCTTTCTCCTTTTGGGTGCTGTGGTTTGCAAGAGAGGCATTGAGTGGCAATCATGTTCAGTCTATAGTCTACTTTCAGCATGCATCTCCCATCCTGGGAGGATCCTCCCAACACCCTTTATTTGGTGCTCCCTTCTCTATCTAAGCTGCCTTTTCCCCTAGTGTGTGCAGCTGCCTCCAAGCCATCAAGTAAACCTCCTGTACCTATCTCAAAAGTCTTCTTGTTCTAAGCAATTCTGAAGTGATGTTTGTTGGGAACCAGAAATCAATGACCAGAATAGAACATAAAATGACCTACTATTTTCTAATTCTGATGACCAAAAATGATTTTTCCCCTCTCTCTCTTGAATGGTTTTGATGGTCACCAGACACATTTTGAGCTCGCTGAGAGTTTCTTGGGAAAACACAAAACACCAGTGCTTCTTGTTTAGTCATTAAGAAACCTTGGCGCATTCTTCAAAACCTAAGATACCTCCTTGGGAACTTGATAATGGAGGCTCATGGCTGTCCCTTTTCCCCAGTCCCGGGGCACATACTCTGCTTTAGAATGGAATACAATCAGTGGTGCATGCAGGTTTCCATGTGCTTCACTTTGAATCTTCTCCTGGATCCTTTCTTGGGGGGCTCCTCTCCCACCATCTGGTCTCCTCTTGCTGTTTTTAGATATTAAGATTTGTCACTGTCATGCGGCATGTGGTTGAAGGTAGAAAACATAACTAAATATAAATACAGGTGAATCTATGTGTATGTTTACATCTATATTTACATCTATATGTATACCTATATAGTCTATGCATATAGGTGTGCTGATAATGATAGATAGGTATACTTATATGGGTTTTTCTGACCTCTATTTACTGAGTGGGCTGAGCTTTGAGCACTGTTGTTACCCAGATCTTGGTTTCAGGTAGCGTTCTTCCACAAAAGGGAGAATCCTCCCACATTCTCCACCTCTGTGGGAGAATTCTACTAGAATTTCTTCTTTGAGAAATGGCTACTACTAGGACTGGTGAAGGGAATATATAGGATGAGCGTCGAACCCCAGTGTAGTTCCAGAAATGGAAAAAAATACCCCCAAAAAATCACAGGGCCGGGGTATTCTAAAGACATGGGACCAAATAGGAAGAGCTCCCAATAGAGGAAGCTGGGATGATCTGAGCAACAAAAGTAAATAATACAGTATTGGCTTTAACCTGAAGAACAAAATATCCTCAAGTCTATATACTGATATGAATAAATAAATGAGGAAGACCAGAAATCCTTGTTAAAAGGAATCCCTGAGAGGGATACTGGAAACATTGGTGTTGGAGAATGGGCACTAGTGGAGGGATGGGTACTTGAACATTGCATGACTGAAATGTTATCACGCAAGTTTCAAAGTTTGTAACACTACCTCACGGTGATTCATTAAAATAAAAAAAATCTCAGAGAGTGTGTGTAGTGACACCTTGCTCAGGGAGTTGGAACATCAGCCCCTGGTCCTTCAGGGTGGTCAGTGCTCAGGGACTTGATTGTGTGTACTCAGCTGTCCACATGACCTCCCCCCACAGGATTCAGAATAGAGCCAGAAAAAGGGGAGGATGACTGGAACCCACAAATACTGGGGTGGATCTGCGTGAAGGAAATCACTTGGGACTCCTAGAGCTGCTAACCCAGATTAGGAGGGGGTGGGACACTCATAGTTGGTCACTCTCTTTGTTCCTCGGGTGAAATGTCATTGGTTTAACCCCAGAAAGTGGCCTGAAATTACTCACCATGCCTGTATGACCCACTATGAGGGAGCAGCACTATGGACCCCCCAAAAGTCCTAGAACGTTACCCATTCCTGGGCGAGTTGTATGGTGAACTGCTGTGTGCATCTACTGGACACATGCCCTCCTGGTGCAGCCCCCATTCCACACATAGGGGTGCTGGGAGCTGGAGCCCCCCACAGAGGTCCTAGAGGAAGGAGCAGTGTGTTGAGCACGGCTGTGCCATAGTGGGTGACATTTTTTGTTCTCGTCTCTCTTTGCTTTTGTCCTTTCCTTTCTCCTACTCTGAGACAGGCCCTTCCCCACTGAGACAGGGCTTGGTCAGAGGTGGTAGTGGTAAGCAAGGCAGGGGGGTAATGGTTGCCCTGGTCAGAGCAGAGGTATATAGAAGATAAATAAAGGACTTTCTAGATCTAGCTGTGGCAGAAGGAAGAATGTACCTGGGACAGATCTGATCAGAGTTCTCAAGCAAGGTGGCACCCGCCCCCAGTCACAGACTCAGTATGTTTGGATCAATATTTAGCAGCAACAGAGAGAAGGGCCTGAGGCCCAACTCAGCAAAGTTTCAGAGAAAGTACTTGTGGGCAAGATCACAGGTATTAATTAGAGTCAGAAGGACTGGGCTTTGAATTTCGACCCTTCCTATGTGTGCCTGTGAGCAAATATGTTTGTTTTTTCCATCTTTCTTAGCCTGCTCCCTTGCCTTGAAATACCTCCTGCTCTCCTCGACATGAATTATGGCCTTCAGCAATCTCAAACACTGACTGTTTTTTCACAGCTCTCTTTTCAGCTTTTTGTTTTTCTCTCCTTACCAGTGAGCTCAGATCCCAAGAACTAGCTGTTTTTGTTTCTGTCTTCAAGGCAAAGACCAGCCAAAGACAGGCAAAGACAGCAGGTTAGTAAGCACTAGTATGCTTTGTCACTGAAAACCATTCTTACGTGTTAAAGTTCCTACAGCAAGAGTTGTTAGGTAGATAAACCATATGTTAGCAGAACTTTTTGATTCATCACCCTTAGAGTCCTTAGGAAGATACACACTGAGCTATGTCTTAATACTGAAGGTTTGGACCCTTTACATATGCTGATTCCACCACTAAAGTGATTTGGCAAGGCCTGGATCTGATTGTTTCTCATCTCCAGAAACCTCCATGACCCAGAAGAATAGGTGTGTGCTTGGCATCCAAAAATCATTGCAAATGTGCTTTAGTCGCTTCTGCAGCCTCCTGACTGCCTCTCCAATAATCTTCCTTTTATCACATCCCTTCCCCAGGAGAATGGATTTTGTTGTTTCCAGAATGCACCCCCCCCCCTTTCATGCCTCCTTTCCATCTTCTGCTGCAGTCTGTAGATTTTCTCCACCTCATCTTGGAGCTCACTGATTCTGTAACAGTAGCAGCTGTTGCTCTGCTACTAAGGCCTTTAAGTGAGTTTTTCATTTCACCTACCCGGTTTTTCAGATCTGCCATATCTGTTTGTAGTTTCTTTTCTATGTTCCTCATTTCTGCTCTCATATTGTGTGTTTGATTGGCAGTGTATCCCATTGTTTCTTTGTACTCCTTATGCATCCTCAACAATTTTATTCTAAATTCCTGATCAGAGAGGTTATAGAGCACAGTCTTACTCACCTGGGTTATCCAGGCTAGAATCTTTACTCACTAATCCTGTAGAGTTTCTTTGTTGCTGAACTACTGTAACCTTTACAGTTTGGGATTGTTTCTTGTGTGTTGTGTGGTTAGGATGGCTTTGTATGTTTACAGTTATGTGTTATGCAGAGGCAAAGAAATGTGTAGCTGGGGCACTTTCTTTGCAGGTGGGGTTTGGTCCTGACATGGGAAGCCAAGATGGTGCTCCTGAGTTTGACCTAGAACTCCTGCCCTTTCTTTCTCTCTAGCCTCTGAACCTCTGTCCATGCCACTTTCTTTGTTTTTCTGGATAGATTCAATGCAAAACCCAGTGCAAACGCATCTCTGTGACTTGCTCACTCCCTACTCCCCATAGGTAGAGCCATGCACTCCCATTTTACTCAGGGGAGAGTGCTTCCTATGCCCTAATGAAGGAGCTCACAACATCCTGAAGATGATTGGAGGTATGTATCTACATTACTAGTATGGGAAATGAACTCTTCTGCCTTTGGAGGATAAACGATGCTTATTGGCAATGCTAGGCACATGAAATTATCCAGTGAGTGCTAACTGTCCTCATTGAAAGCATACATCTTATTTGACAGACTTCTGTGTCTGCAAACATCTTGGAACATAGATTTTATTGGTGTGGGATCTATACACTTTAAAGTCAGAATATTGACCTGGATCTGAATGGCACTGTGCACAATTTAATCATCTGAGGATCAGACAAGAAGATCCAAATAGGCACAATATCTAGGGAATTCAGAAAAACCATTTCAACCAGGTAGCAGTTAATTTGGCTTAGTGACATTTCACATAGGCAAGCTAATAGTTTCTTTGCTATTAGTCTTGTTGGTGGATTTTTAAGAAACGTAACTTATTATTTTCAATATTTTGTTTGAATCTTACAAGTTATACATTTTTTGTTTTTGTTTTGGGCTATACCCAGCATTCTTGGGGCTTATTCCTGGCTCTGTACTCAGGGATCACTCCTGGTGGGCTCGGGGGGCCATATGTTGTGTTGGGGATCAAGCCCATGTCAGCTACATGGAAGGCAAATGCCTACCCATTGTACTATCTATTTGGCCCCACAAGTCATACATTTCTAAGACAAGAACAAAAATAAATCAATCCAGTCTTTCAAAAAGAAGCTGGTGGAGGCATAATCCTTAACTTTAATTAGCGTTGACTACACAGAAGGAAAGTTAATTGGTTGATTTTGTATTCCTCATATGTAATAATTCGGTCTTTGCCCAGAATATGCACATCCTTGTGCTTTTACAGAGTCTTAAAAATGTTTTACTACAGATGCATAATATGCTGATTTCATTTATGCTTCGGAAGCCCCCGGTTATCATCATAAAGGAAGGTTAAGAGACAGCCCAGATACCTGCCAAACCCACATTCAGGGAGACCTGCCCAATCCTGTGGCTGCTGCCCTTAACTTAAACAGCTTGACTTCGCCATAATGTTCAAACTGCCAAGAAAATAAATCAGGACTTGAGAGATTTGTTTTGGACTTGCATTGCACAAATGCTTTGGAATGGGCTCTTGACAAAGATGGTTCTTCCCTGTGTTCCTACTGGCCTGGCCTGGATCAACGCAAGAGGGCCAAGAGCAATTTCCGGAAGTCGCCAGAGGTATCAGAATCAACCATGTCAGCGAGAGACTTCTGATACTTCGTTTGGAACTTGGTTTTTATCTCCGGAAGGTCCACCTGGAGGAGAGATGACAATAGCCATGGGGACAAGAACATCTGGAACATGTTCACCATAAACAAAGGGAGGCATTGTTCTAACTTGTGAGTGATTCTCATTTGTTCATTTTGAGTCGTGAAACAACCCATTGAGAGAGGACTGTTATTATTCCTATTGGATGAATCAGAAAAGGGAGGCTGAGTTCAGCTGCCCGACACTACAGAGATGTCTGTATTTTAGTCTGAATTTATTTAGGACACAGAAAATTTACACTTCCTCTGATTTTGATGTGGACCAAATGATACTTTTGAAATTCAAAAAAAGTCATTTTAAAGTTAATGACTTTACAAAGACCAAAGGAATAGATCTGATTTGGGCTTCAGTTTACTAATTTCAGTATTGAATTAAGAGAGTTGTTAGCACTGAGATTTAAAATTAAGTCTCTTTTTCCCTCTGTACCCCAATCCACAAAGATATTATTGCCAATCAACAAAATTCATCACAATGCCATTTTGTGGGATCTGTGACCAATCTAATTCATTAAAACCATGATAGAGCCAGGCCTTGGAGGTGAGGTAAGGACTCAGAAGAAAACATATGAAAAGATTATTCTTCTCTAAAGACTCTTAACAACCTATTGCAAGGGAGATAGCATTGGCACCAGAAAGTGTATAATTTCAGGCAGAACAGTGAGTCTCATAAGAAGCACAGAGCTTTCTTTAACCAGGAAGCCTTTGTTCTTCTTCTGTTTTATGATTTAGACTCTATCTTGTATTCTAGACTCACAAGCCGTGGCTCAGGTTTCTGGTTCTTTTTATTTAGCCCCCGTTAGAGGCAGAATAGGAGAAAGATGAGAGGAGAAGATGGGAGACAGAGAAGCTGTTCCAAGTGGGTGCAGAACAGGAGAGTAGTGTCAGGTGGAGGGTGTCGCCCTGATAGTGTACTTCCTGGATGGGTGAGTGCAGGGATAGGGTAGGGAACACTGGAGGCTCTGTTTTGTTCCCCATGATTTTGGCTGTTCGGAAGATTCACCAGTTCTATTTAACTTGGCCTGAAGCATTTTGAAAAAAATGGCTCATGCATAGAAATGACCCAGGACACGTGGTCAGTACTGATGAGATGGGCTTGAATATCTTGGAACAAACATCTCTGGCCTGTAGGGGAGGAACATGGAAACATGGAACCCTGAAATGCTCCGACCCATCCAATTCCCTTTGGGTTTTGTTTTGTTTTCCCTGCTTTGTAACCAACCTGCTTCTTTGGATCTCTTAGTGGTTCTTAAGACTTCAGCTGATGATTGATTTGCAAAAACAGAGCAAGAGAGAAGTTAGAGACTAGAGAGCAAAGGGCAAGAGAGATTCGGAGTCAGGTAGGAGAGTGAATGAAAGGAACTGAGGCTGACCGAAAGGAGGAGGAGAAGTAGAAATGAACTTCAAGAGAGAAAGAAAAGTGTGAGGAGGAGGAGGAGGAGGAGGAGGAGGAGGAGGAGGAGGAGGAGGAGAAGGAGGAGGAGGAGAAGGAGGAGGAGGAGGAGGAGGAAGAGGAGAGAAATTCCAGGAATAGAAATCAAAACGAAAGAATGATCTTGTTGCTAAATTCTATTAAAAACAATGTCACGTGTTAAGTATTACTTGTCAAAAAGCTGTGACCAGAATTTGGGTGGGGAGCGTTCCCCTGCCTTTTATTTAATCATTTTTTGAGTGACAAGGTCTGTGGGTTTTAAGTGTTTGGTTCTACTTTGTGCCTCATGGTTTCTCTTACTGTAGACTTGATGCCCTTCCCCCTTTATTTGTAGTTTCTTCTCTCAGTGGCCTCTATTCCAGATTCTTCACTGTTAATTATGACAATGGCTCCTAAGCCCTTGGGGAGGCAATATGGTTCCTCATGAGGCAAACATTGGTTCTCAGAGAGTGAACAAAGTAAAAAAGTAAAAAAATTTTTTTTGTTATGGAGTATAAACTGATATGCAATAGCTATGTGGCATGAGCATTTTTGGGAAGAAAACTGTGATTAAGGAAGCACTGAATGTAAGAAGGCTCTTCTGCAGCATGCTGGGTTTGTAACAAAGAGATGAATGAGACACACTGTCTTCTACCGATGTTTCTTGTTCAAAATTGTACTGTTGAGATATTCAAGTCAATGAAGGGCCTAGCTTAGGGGCGAGGCATTCATCTGCTTGCTCTTTCTGCCTTGAGGTGACTCTGTCTGTGGCTGCCCTCCCAGGGCCTCTGCTTGGTCACCCTCAATATGGATTCAGTGGGGATTGCTGGAGCCCAGAGCCTCTATCTGTCCAGGTTGCCTCCTAATGTTCTGGAGTCACCGGTGACAAAAATGGAAGCAATTATCATTATTGTCTTTTTCTTAAAGAGACTGAAGTACAGTTCCACCCATACCAACACCCCCCCCACCCCACCCCACCCTTTCCCGCAAAACATCTGGGAAGGTCAAGATTGTCTCTAGTATTTTTTGGCTGTCCATAGGTTCCTGACAAAGGGCAGTTTGTTTATGATGTCTGGGTATCAGAGTGAAGGGAGCGCTGATGGGGGTCTTACCTCGGCTCGGGTCACAATGATGTGAATGAGCGTCTTCTCATCAGTCCCTGCCCCCTTCATGGCCTCATACAAGCAGTCTGCAAAATATTCCGCACGGTCCTGGGCACTCCTTACTGTGGGGGTACGGGGTGAGGGGAAAGACAATGCAAAGTATTCAGGCTTTGTGGATTCACATGAAGATCCCTACCCTCCACCCATCGAGAGAACTGGGCTGGCCTCACATGGTACCTGGCTGCCCTTGGCTCTGACTGAATCAGAAGGGAGATGTCTTAAAGAAGTCAACTTTATACTGTTCTGGTAAAGATTCTAGAAGATTCACCCCAGGCCATGGTGCCTGGAGTGTTAAACCAAAATCAAGTCAAACAAACCCCTTCAGACAAATAAGAACTATAAGGGAGGAGGAGGAGGAGGAAGAGGAGGAGGAGGAGGAAGAGGAGGAGGAGGAGGAGGAGGAAAAGAAAAAGAAAGGAAGAAGGAGAAGGAAGAGGAAGAGGAGTGCAAGGGCTGAAAAAGAGGAAGGGGAAGATAAAGGGGAAGGAGAAGGAGGAGGAGAAGGGGAAGAAAGAGGGAGAAGAAGGAGAAGGAGAAGAAGGAGGTATCCAAAGACATCCACAGATTCTCCCTGCAGAGCTCAAGATTCTCACCAGCAGAAACATTTTTTTTTCTGATGCAAGATTCTGGAATGAGGTTCTGGAGGGGAAACACAGATTGACCTCCATTTTATTGCAAGACAATCTCTGAGTCCTGGGGCTCTGTCCCTGGGTAGGATGCTCTGCTGGGTGCCTTGTTTTTCTCAGGTGTTTACTGTATGAACCTCAACTTGAGGTTTCTTAATTTCCCTACCACCTTTGTAGGTGGGGGTCTAGGGTGTGGCTGGGTAAGATGTCTGGATTGCGGGCCACCTTCCGAGGAAGCTGCCAGTTGCTCTTTTTTGGTCCTGTCCTTGCTCACCATCTTTCTTCTGAGTCACAAACTAGTGAAGCACAGTTTCAGTTCACCAGCCAAATGATGCGGTGTCTCTACTCCAGGGAACAGGTCATTCTTTTTCTCCCCTTGCTCCCAGGATTATGTGGGTTCACCAAGATTAACACTTTGATGGAATGAGCCATCTACTCTTTCTCATCCTTTTTTTGAAAGCGCAGGGGGAGTTTGGGCCCCACTCTGTTTAGGGTTTACTCCCTCAGGGTTTGCTCCTTAGGGATTACTCCCAGGTCTGTGCTCAGGGATCACTCTTGCCAGAACTCAGGAGACCTGAGGAGGAGGAGGAGGAGGAGGAGGAGGAGGAGGAAAAGAAAAAGAAAGGAAGAAGGAGAAGGAAGAGGAAGAGGAGTGCAAGGGCTGAAAAAGAGGAAGGGGAAGATAAAGGGGAAGGAGAAGGAGGAGGAGAAGGGGAAGAAAGAGGGAGAAGGAGAAGGAGAAGAAGGAGGTATCCAAAGACATCCACAGATTCTCCCTGCAGAGCTCAAGATTCTCACCAGCAGAAACATTTTTTTTTTCTGATGCAAGATTCTGGAATGAGGTTCTGGAGGGGAAACACAGATTGACCTCCATTTTATTGCAAGACAATCTCTGAGTCCTGGGGCTCTGTCCCTGGGTAGGATGCTCTGCTGGGTGCCTTGTGCTGGGGATCAAGTCATGGGTGGCCAGAGGCAGGCAAAGGCCCTAACCTTTGCACTATCCTCTTCAGCCCCAGCTATGTACTCTTTGAGTTGTTACCTTCTTCCTAGAATATATAATTTCTCTTAAATGTTTGGATGGGCCATGCCAGGTAGAAAGGAGGGAAGCCAGCCTTTATACTATCTTCTGCTCCTCCAGCTCCAGTGAACATTAGCTAACCCCTCGGAAAGTTTGGTGTGTGTTTTATTAAAAAATTTTAAACTAAAATTTTTTTGATTTGCCTTTAGTTTATATAATATAAATGGTCAGTGATCAGTTTAATACACCTGTATTGTGTATAAGCCTTACTGCACGAACCACCAAAGTTCCAGTGTCATTCCCATGATCAGATTTCCCCTGGGGAGCTCCTAAAAGCGTGAAGTCTGGTCATTATATTTGAAGGTTCCAAATGCTGAACCTGAGGTGGAGCCCAGGAGATTGTGTCTTTTCATGCCTCCTCTGGGTGATTCTGATGCAGGTGGTCCATGGGCTCCTACTGTGATAAGTGATCTTCTAATCATTAGGTCTCCTAGCCCCTCCTCCTTGATTTATCTAAAATCTGGGGTCCTTATGAGTTCAGTGGGAGAAGGGTGAGATGATCTGTACAATGTAGTCACAGAGACAGATTCTACTGTTTGTATCATTTCTTCCAGGTTATTTCTAGGTCACATCTATATTAGCAGCCTCTGGGGGTATATCTAACTCCTGTATTTCATGGTTCCTATCTCTGGGAACTGCACTTTTCCTTCCTCTGGACCCTTTATGCTCTGGTGAGGTTTGTTTTCCTCCTTACCATATCTATAACTGTGGATTTATGCTTCAACTTTAAGCTTCCACCACCATGAATTTTAAGCTTCTTTTTTGGGGGTGTGGGGGATGTCTCCTGAGCAGTATTCAGGGGATCCCAGAGCATTCTAGATGCCAACTGGGCCAGATGATTAGTCCTTGGGCCCTGTCGTACAGTGCTACAAGCATTAGGGGCCACCAAGGCAACCCTGATGGTGCTCGGGGGTTACATGTGGTTCTGGGATCAAAACTGACGCATGCAAATCATGCCCTCCATCCCTTTGAGATGACTCCCTGCCCCTGACTTTAAACATCTTCCGAACAGGAACTGCACTTTATTTACTTATCTTCACTCCTAATGTACTTACTACCTTGGTGCAAGCAGATGCTAAGTTAAGGCCAAAGAAGTTAATGGTTTTATTACCATTAATAATTAATATTGTTTAACTGAATTCTGATATTTCCCTGATTCTCTGCACTGCAAGCATGAAAGAGGTTGTAGACCTTTGAGACTGACACCAGGGAGTCTTCCTAGAGGGCCTAAGGACCCACATGGACCCAGTGTGAGTCAGAGTGACATTCTGGATGCTTAGGTTTCTGTACATCACAATCGAAATCTTCTATTTTGAGTGCAAAATGAGGAGGATGGATGGAAAAAATATCAATTGCTGACATTGTTTCCCCCAAAGGGGGGGGGAAACAAACCTCAAAAAGCAAAATAAAACAAAAAGTCTGGCAGTGTGAGCACATTTTTTAACTACCAGGGCTGCCTTTCAGTTCTTCCTGCTCTTCTGTGGATCAGTCTCCCCGTTTCTTGTGCCATTTGGGATGGTGCCCTGGACTCCTCACCATGGGCGGGAGTGTGGACAATGGACAATGCCTTCATTCCAGGCCTTTCAGAAAGGAGAAAGAAGCCTGCCAGACAGAGCCCCATGCCTATTGCTCTGCTATTTCCTGCCTCTGGGCAACACCTGGAGAGAAGGTTCTGGGGTTTGCTTGGCAGAGTCAAGAGCTGGTCTTCCTCTTTTTCTTTCTAAACAGACCTCATTCATTCCAAATGTTGAAGGGTACCAAGTGGGTAAAGATACCCTCAAGCCACCAGGCATATGCAAACACTTATTCATGGATTGGATGGGGGGGGGGGGGGCGCCTTTTGATTGTGTATCATAGGCATTGCATACTTCCCTGGAGCCGAGGCTGTGGCCCCATGCAGTTGATAGATGCTTGTTGGAGGACCCACTGTCTTATGGGGTGCCAGATTCCCTATTTAGGAACCACGCAGGTCTGTTCACTGCTCACTGCTGAGTCTATCCCCAGGAATGGCCTCCATGGGAGATCTTTCTTGCCCATATGCCAACCTGGGTTGCAACGAACTGGCCCCTTTCTTGCACTGTGGTCATCTGGCTCCCCGGCCCTGTTATACCTATATCAAGTTCACTCTTTCCCTTGACCAATACTGTGATGTGTGAGATGTTCCCCCAAATAATTTCCCTATGCAGTCTCCTGTATGCACACATCTGTCTCTGCCTCTGCTTCCAGGAGGCCTGACCAAAGACAGGGAGATCCTAAGACAGGGGTTCTCTTAGCTTTTTACCCAGAGTTAAGTAGGCCTTTTGAAGATTTCCCGAGGTTTCTTCTTTGATGGATTCCTCGATATCTTTGCCGATGAGCTAGAAAGAGAAAATCCAGACATTATTTTAGGTTTTGCTTTTGACATTGGTGCATTTGGAGGTCCTTCTTCTTCTGAAAACACTATGCTCTATTGCAGCATTGTTTATAAGAGTTAAATAGGAAAGTAGCCCAAGTGCCACTGAGAGACATTGGTTAGAAGAGATGGGGTAAATTTATACCAGTGTTTTCCAGAGAAGGTGACACTGCACCCCTGAGGGGAATGGAATAACCCAAGTGGATATTCCCAATAACCCAGTGGAAAAACCCAAATGATAATTTTTTTTCTGAAAAGGGGCAGTAGACCAGATGAGTCTGGGGCTTATCATGGAATATTATTCAGCTATGAAAAAGATGATGACTTGTTATTTGCAGCACAATGGAAGAAGCTGGAGGAAAGAGAGAAGTAAGAGAGACAAGTATTGGATGGCAGTACCCATGTGTGAATATTAAAAAATCAAATTGATGAGCAGACAAAACAGAGACAAATATGTTGGCATTGACAACAGAACAAAGGTCACCTGAGGGAAAGGAGGCATGGAGAGAAAAACAATTTGAGGGGAATGAAAAAAATAAGGTGACTTTGTAAAAGAAAATAAAAGCCTTAAATTTTTCCAGATCAGGTCATGTGACCTTAAGGGTCTCCTGCCCAGCTCTGTGCCTTGCAGAGCTGTGAGTGATTGTCTCCAGTTATTTGAGTGGGGATCCCCTGGCTGAGTTAGTTTAGATCTGATCCCACTTAGCCTCAGTTTCCTCCTCTGAAAAATCAAAACAATGAGTACTATCACACTTGGTTTTTATTCTTTGGTTTTTATTTGCAAAATTTATTTCAAAATTTCTTTCCATTTCCAGTTTTCTAGAAGGCTGTGTTTCTAACTATCTTCCCGACACTTTTGTGGTCTCCTGTCACCTGAGAAGCAGTGCTCAGGTACCTACAGTTTAGGATAGATGAGTGGGGGCTGTGATGTTCCTGGTGGAGACTTGGTCTGATGGTTCAGAGAGAGTTGGGTTGCGCCAGCTGGAAGTGGGAGCTCAACCACGTCCAAGCACCCCTCTTCTTCACACTGGGCTGATTCCAAATGATCCTATATTCGCTCACAGCAGTGCACATTAGGACTCTTTCCAAATATTTATAGAAGCTGAAGTTCAGAGTAAATTGTGACTATGCTTAACACAAGTACCACCCGGGCCAAGCCCAGGGCAGGCAAATAGCAAGAAAGGAGAGCTCTGTGTTGGGTTTAGAGAAGGCAGGCAAAGATTAAAAATACTGAGACTTTTTCTTAGAAGCGATCTTTGGAAGCTCTGACACAATTTGGGAGTCTCTACATAGTTGAGGCCTTTTGGACACACCAGAAGAGTTTGTTTTAAAAGTATGTAAACAAAATACTCTTTTGGGGATTCAAAGCACAAAAGATGTGGGGGAGGAGGTGCAGACGGAACAAAGCAAAGCAAAGCAAAGCAAAGCAGGGCTCCTTCACCTCCTTGGCATGATTTGCAAGTCTCGAGACTTGACGTTTGAGCGTGTGTGTGCGCACGCGCACGCGCGCGGCTGTGTGTATCTGTGTGTGTGGGGAGGGGGGGATGGTGGGGGGGGGGTGGGAGGCTAGATCAGGAGGGCTTGACCGCATTCAGCCCTGTCCTTGAGCTGCTCTCAATCTTGAGTTTAACGTGGGGGCTGCTCTTTTGGAAAGAAATGCTCTCACTTTCCTCCAAACAGGGTTCTTGCTCCCTAGACTGAGATTGTGTTTCCTGAGGATATTGCTTTCACACAGATTTGCATTTGCTTAAACACAAAGTCGTCCCAGGCATCCACTTTCTGTTTCTATGGTTCAGGATGGCCTGGAACTGGGTTCTTCACATTTCTGTAGAATTTTTAGCATCCAAGGCAGAAGACCAGTTGTTTGGGGGAGATGGGACGTGGGTTTCTTCGCCCAGCACAGCTCAGGCTTCTGCTCACTCAGGGGCTCTTCATTGCATATCTTAGGGGGCACTATTTGCCCATTATGAGACAGTATTGCCTCCCTTCTCTATTTCTGCCGCCGCCCCCGCCTGCTCTTTGTAGCTACAAAGGTGCCTCCAGGGGCTCTGCGCAGTGCTCCATGGGAATGAATGGCCCTAGCTATTTCCACTCTTCTTCACAAAGTTAGAGAATTTTCTCTGCAGTTACCAGGAATCTTAAATGCTTAGGGGGCTCTTTGGAGCCCAGGCTTTCTAATCTTGGTACAAAAACACTCTAACAAGGCAGATTCCAAATGAGCTATGAAGGTTTTTTCCTAATCGGGTACCATTACCTGCAGGGAAACTGAAGGATAGGGAAAGAGATGTTTTTCTCTTAAAATCAGGCTTTTCAAGCTGACATATGCCTAGCCTCTGCCATCTGGCTTTGACTGCAGCTGTGAAATGACTAAACTCTCAAACATGGGCTTAAAGATGCTTAAAGAGGGGAGGGGATGTGTTAGAGGGTGTGATGGGGGAGGCAGTCAGTCGGACTGTGGGTATGTGTACCTGTGATACATATTTTGACCTTGTAAGTATGTCTCTCCTTCCTGCTGAACTTTGAGGCAGAAGAAGGCAAAGGGAGGAAACTAAAGATTCTCAATTTGAACATTTTCTCATGCAACACCAAGGACGGTATGTGGGCATCAATTTTGAGAATTATTCTCCTAGAAACTATCCTCTGGTATTGGTTAGTTTCTGTATGTACAGCACACACATACACGTTATGTGTGTTTCTGTAGTCTGCATCTGTGGCAGGCAGTTCTTAGAAACTCCATCCATGGCTGAATTTATGTGGGAAGAGGGTCTAAGTGAGAGAGAAAACCTCAGGCTCAGAGTCCACAGCGCTCCAGGCACCGGAGACCCTGGGACGGGGGCCAGCTGCCTTTGATCAGGACACTGGGCAGGATCTGAAAGCAGATGGCCCTTCAGGCTCATAGACGGTGATGATAAAATTCCGAAGCTTTATTGTCTTCCCATCTACTGGCAACCATAGGAAACAGTATTTCGAATGAGCTGCGGCCAGCTCCAGCCGGGGCTGGAGTGTGGACTGGAGAATCTTGGAGTTCTTGTCCACTTTGAGCTACTGGCTTGCTGTGTGGTCCTGATAAGTTACAGATGGTTCCCATCTTGGGCAGGCGTTCCTTGTCTGGCATCTAACAATGACTGTTTAGCCTACCTCACAGTTACCGTATTGTTGGGAAGTTGGAATGAGGTACAGGCACAAAAGTGATTGAACTGGGTAAAAAAAACTATTTACAAATATAAAATAGGAGACTAAAAACATAAATATATATTCTGATAATTCTGATCAAGAAAAATATTCTGATAAAAGCAACAAAATATTTCTTGTTGTTAAAGACTGATTTCAGGAAAGGACTCACTATTTAGTGTCTTGAAAAAATTCACTCATCTTGTTGGATTAAAAATTAAATTTAGATAAAATTAAATTGTCTGAAAACAATTTCAAGACCCAACTTTTCGGGAGTGTATCTGAGGTGTACTCCATTTGACTTTGGAGAAATGGGCAGTACTAGCCCACTTGTAAACTGGAATAATAAGAGTGAGTATCTATATGCTTTCCATATGCTAAATACCATTCTGAGTTTTGGTTTTCTTTCTTTCCTTTTTGGGGTAATCTGTACCCTGTGGTGCTCAAGGCTTACTTGTGGCTTTGTGTTCAGGGATCACTCCAAGCAGTGCTGGGGGACCGTAGGTTGTGCCAGGCATCAAATGAGGTTGTATCGTGTGCAAAGCAAGGACCTTAACCTCTGTATTATCTCTCTGACCCCAGTTCTGAGTTTATTTATTGGTTTCAGAGTTATATCCAGCAGTGCTCTGGGCTTACTCCTGGCTCTCTGTTTAGGGATCACTCCTGGCAGTGCTATATGTGCCAGGCAAGTGCCTTAACCTCTGTACTGCCACTAGTTTATTTAACTCTGTGTGTGGTGAGGAGGCTACCAGGTAGGGTTTTGAAGGTCAGGGCCATTTCCGGTGATACTTGGATGTGTGCTCCCCCCTCCCCCCCAGGGCTACATAAGTGGTACCTGGGAGCAGGCAGGCCTAGTGTGTGTCCGGCATGTGCCCCAGCCCTTTGAACCATCTCCCGGTTACTATCTGATTCAGTTCTTAGAATAATTCCATTGAGTGTGGTGGTGAAAAAAGTCTTCTTTCACATGGCCCAGGATTCACAGATGAGGAAAGAGATCTTAGTTCATTTGCCAGAACCAGAATTTGACCCCCCGACCATTGAGTCTAGGCCTTTTGCTACACTGATGCTGCCTTTGGGGCCTGATGATTCTTTGTTCGTGAAGCTTCGCTGACATATTGTAGGTATTGAATAGCTTTCGTGGCCACCCTCACCCACTAGATGCCACAAGCACTGCCTTCTCCAACCCCACTCAATATGACAACTCTAAGTGTTTTAAGGGTGCAGAAGACAAAAGTCACTCCTTAGTTGAGAACTGATATTGTCAAGGATCCCTCCAGCAACATTTGCCCATTCTTGGCTTCTTTTAGAAGCAACTTAAGATTATGTTTTAGCATGAAGTTGGATGCTCTAGAACTTGATTACTTACAATTTGATAGGCTTGGAAGGTGGCTCGTAGCTGCTTGTAGCTCCTCTTGGCCAGGACTTCATTGAAAGCAAGCTCATCTGTGCCCCAACGGCCTTCCCCTGCCTGGGGGAGCAAATGCAGACATTTCAAAAGTCTTTTTGTGAAGAAAAAAAAAAAAACAACCTAAGTCTACAGGACTGTGAGCAGGCCTAACATATAGGAAACTAGAAAACAAGCCCTGAAAAGAGGCCAGATTGAGTAACCAAGCACATTATTTTATATTTTAGTGGAAATATGAATATTTATGGGCCAGAGATCATATCTTTTTTCTGAGTAATTCCCAGTCACGTGAAATAAAGAGATGTTTGTTGAAAACAATGCCAAGGAGTTAAAACAGAAGAATTTGCTGAAACCGGGCACATCTGGGCACACTTACATCATACAGATCTTTGGCGTCCTGGCCAGCTAAATCTTTGTCCACATCATCTTCTTTATCGCGATTAGCCTAGAAAAATCAACATCTTGTTATGTTCCTGCTTGGCCACAGAGAAAGGGAAAGTCCTGCACTCAGTCCGGCTGCCTTGGGAAAGGTTACGTCTGCCAGTGCTGCTCTTTGCTGCCATCTTTTGGGCACAGCCAATTCATTTCCCAAGCAACACTTTTCCCTTTCTTCTAGAAATCAGGGACTCCCCAAAACTCCTCTGAGCTCTGCAAAGCAGGCAGAAAGCCACCTGATGAGACTTGGTAGAGTGAATCCAGTGGGAACGAGTTGTCTTCCTTCCAAAATATCAAATGTCCCCTCTCCGGGTTTTCATTTTCATGAACCCTGAGAGTTGGTCAAGGAAGGTCCTGGAATCCAACCTTTATGGCAGTCAGAAATCAAAGCTGACTGTAAGGACCAATACTCTTCTGTAATCCAGCTCCCATGAGTGCGAGCGAGGCTGTGACTCTGATGAGCTCTCACTCCCATAAGGATCTTGCTTTAATAGAGCCATGGGATGATATTTATAGAGGTAATTAAGATCCCTAATCAGATGAGTTAATATAAAGGGATGTGCTGAATGGGTCTGATCCAATTAGCTGAGCAGAGATGCCAGAAGTCAAAGAAATGACCTTTGCTGGCCTGGCTCCTTGTTATGAAGTGTCTGGAAGGCACCTGGCAGGGAACTGCAGGTGGCCCCTCAGAGATGAGCACGGTCTAAGGCTGGCAGCTAACAAGGAAACCAGATGTCAGTTATCATCTAGCTACAAGGAGCTTAATTCTGTGCACAACCAGATTTGTACTTGAATGAGAGCCTCAGATCTCAGAGGAGAACACAGGCTTGAGAAACTCCTTGATTCTAGCAGGGTGAGACCCCCCAGGGAAGAATTTGACTAGTGAGTACTTGGATTCCTCACCCACTCTAAGTTCGTAGATCAGAATAAGTTTGAGGCAACTTGTTACTATAGCAATGGAAAACTTATAGCTCCTGTTTGCTGCTCTGCTGTTAGTCTCTGTTCATGGGGAAAAAGATGAACCAGAAGAAAAGTGCAAAACTCATAAAGATGGGGGGAGTAAAAGGAGGATAGACTGCCTGGAATTCTGGGTTTGAATCCTAACGAGGCCAGTTCTGAAAGTCCTACTTTCTCAACCGACTCTTTGCAGCTGTTACAGGTCTAGCTAGACCTGGGTGAATATCAGAAGGGAATGTAGACTTGTGCTATGCAAAAGACCCCTTGAAGATCATAGTTCTTGTGTTCTTGTGTCTCTGTTATTGCTCCTTCCTGGGTATGTAAGCATGGGCAGGTTACCCATTCTCTCTGGGAGCAAATTGAGGTGGTGATGCTTAAAAAAGATAATTAGCAGAAGGATTACAAATCGCAAAGGATTAGCAAATCATTATGTTGGGGAAAGTGCCAATTGGATAATTCCCAGAGGCTGGGTTGATGATCTCAACATTTTTCATAAAAGAAGGAAAATGCTGATTTACAGTGCCCTTCCCTCCACAGTGGTACCTTGTGGTTGAGGACCGTTTCCCAAGATCATTAAGCCCGTGAAACCTCTTTGCTCTTACCTGGAGCAGGGACACCAGGATTTTTTTTAGGTTTCCACTTGTATCACCTTTGACGTCTGATTCCAGGCTATTGTTAAAGACTTTGGAGGGAGAAAAAGGGAGGAGAGAAAGTACATGATTTACTTCCCATTTATTTTTGCAGAGATGTTTTGAAAAGGAACATTCCTTATCCAAAGTCAGAACAAAAGGTTACTTACGCCTTTGGTAGGCCTCTTTAATGGCGGTGATTTCCTAGGAGAGTTAATAAAAAAAGGAGAGTTAATAAAAAAAAAAGAAAGAGAAATTAATGCTCCAGGGTGGGGTTAGTTAATGGGATGCAGAAAGGCCAAAAAGGAAGAGGTGGGAACCCATCTCTGGACACTCCATGTCCTCTGAAGAAGTCATCCCAGTGGATAAGCCTCAGGCGTGTGCCATGGTTCTGCAACTGTGGGGTTGGTACTCAAGCTTTCTTCTGGCTCTGTGCTCAAGGATCACACCTGGGAATTCTAGAGGGACTATCTGTGGTGTGGAGGGTGTAACCAGGATCAACCACACGCTAGCAAAGTGCCTTAATCTCTACTATGTCTTCATCCCACCGCTGAATGAGACCATCCAGGATTTGGACAAATCATTCTCTGACTTTTTCACTCAGTGTAAATGATCCAACTGTGCATATACGTAGACAGCTACCTTGTGTCTTCAGTATTTACTTTTACCCCGCACTGCTCAAATCCACCAAAGTCACAACCTAGTAGTGTTTGCTGGGCCAGTGTGCCAGTGATCACATACATACATACATATGGACCATACATAGCCTAGGGGAGGTATGTTTCCACACGTGTCATTTCCCTCCCCTACCAAGTGCATGGACACGAAATGTTCCAGTCTACCACTTTTTTTTTTTTAGCCAGTCTCATCTTGATGGGCTTTTAGGTTTTTCAGTTATTCTCTTTCAAACACCGTCTCCCTTTAGCCAAACATTAGCTGTTTGCCTGCTGCACATTTATCTCTAGGGGATACCTGACAGGAATGATTTTCTCCTCAGTGTTGCCTTACTCACACCTGAACCAGCAGTGTGTCAGAACAGATGCAACCCACAGCTTCCCTTGTGAGTTGTTTCAGGCAGAAGGCAGCGACCGACAGAGAGAGGGTGGGTGGAGGCTGGTAGGGGCTGACCACTAACTTGTGCTGTAGAACCCATCCCTGCCCCCACTGGTCTTCTTTCAACCCACTACCACGATCTGCCTGAACCTAGGGCCTGCATCCCCCCCTCCCCCCACGCGCCGCGGGCTTGCTTCTAGTTCCTGTCAGATCTATTTGACAAGAAAGAAAGGGGAGCCTTCTTTGGCTGTTAGAAACTGAAACTGAAAATAAATGAGACTGGGGGGTTAACAGTGTTTGGTCAAAGATGATTAGAAAAATAATGATGAACTGAAGTTTGCCAAGGTGGGCTGGCCCTGACCCCCGCCACTTTGCTGCATATACTCCCCACCCCCACCCCAGGTCTCCCTGACTGGACTGTCATGAATCTGGAAAGGATGGGCACAATCCACAATCTCACCCTCTGTCAAGGAGCTGAAACTCCTTGGAGAAAAAGTTTTCAAGATCTCATGGTCATAGGGGGAATATATATATACATGTATATATATATATGTATATATATGTCCATATATATATTCAGTCTTCTGCCCCCCGCGCCTGGGTGTTCCTTCCCGGGGCCCCTTGGAGGGGAGCGGGTTGAGCTTTCCTCCCCGCCCCGACCATGGCTCCGGCAGCTGAAGACCTCCAGGACGAGCCACCACCATGCTGAGACCACTCTCCGCACACATGAAGGTACTGGCAGAGGGACAAAGCCACGCGGGTTTCGGGGCCGAGACCTCCAAGCCTACTCGGATCGGAGTCGAGCATCTTCCACCCAGATCCTCCAAATTCCAGTTGGCGGAGGTCACACCCACCACCTGGCCCCCTGGCGCCGTGTAATCCCATCAGCGGCCAAGACTCAGAGACTATAAAATCCAGACTCCGGAACCGCGCAGCCGCAAATGCGGCCGCGCGACACCTTATCAGAACTTTTTTTTTATGACATCTTATTGTCTCATTCCTACTTTGGACAAACTTGCAGGCTATCGAATGTTGCCTGCCCACAGGGCAGAGTCTGGCAAACTCCCCGTGGCGTACCAAAATGCCAAATACCAGTAACAATGATGGGTCTCATTCTCCTAAAGAGCCTTGAATATAATCTCAGGGCTAGGATGAAAGAGACGTTACTGGGGCCTGCTCGAGGCAATCGACGAATAACAGGATGATGAAATGAAATGAAATGAAATGAAATATATTCAGATATGTATACCAAAGCTCACATTGCCCAAACTTTAACAACATGTTAATGATATCCTGTAGAATGTCTTAATGGCTCCTGCCAAAATAGAACAATCTTCACACTGTTTCCTATATGAACACTTTTTTCTAAGAATATTCAGCATTTCTTCATAACAGACAATATGAAATATATTGTTTCGATTATGTTTTGGGACAGGGATTGGGGTTTGGGATCGAAACATCTCGAATTTGGTAGTGGGAAGGTGTAACGATGATGGGATTGGTATTTGAATATTGAATGTAATCAAACATTGTGAACTAACTTTAAAAAATTTAAAAAAAAATTTTAAAAGGAGCACATGCCCAATTCAATCAGCTTAATCAATGGCTGAATAAATAGCAGTGCTCCTACATTATAAAAAAAAAAAAAGATCTTGTAGGGGAAGCCCGGGAAGCTCAGGAAGGCATTGGCCATTGGAGCTGCTGTCATAGTGGCTCTGAGGACCGGATTGCCCAGTACAGGATGGTGGATGCGACTGCACAGGATCTCAGCCCTCCGGATCTGAATTGGCTCTTTCATATCCAAGTGATATTATCATTTTGTTCTGAATGATTGTTCTAATCACTGCTTACTTTCCTACCCATGTTTCCTATAATGGCTTCTGGGGTTTTCTGATCAATTCCTTGCTGGCCCGCCCCATTCTCGGTAAGGTTTGTAGGAAATATAGCTGGAGTCTTCAAATAGAGATCGGTGGGCCCTCTTCTTCCTCAGGAGTTTCCTGCTCCTCTGGGGTCTAGAACCAGAGACAAATTGGCTTCCACGAGGGTCTGAGCAGATGTTCTTCCCAGCCCCAGAGATGGTGGCATGTGTCCAAGGGCCAAGAAAGCTGATGCGAGGACACAAGACTTGGAGAGGGGCATGGATCCATGGGTCATTTAGTGAGGGCCTCTTAGCGCCACCACCCTCCCTGCCTCTTTATACAAACATACCTCGGAGACATTGTGGGCTTTGTTGCAGACTACCCCAATAAAGCAGTCCCAACAATGAAGAGAGTTCAACCAATGTTTGGGTTTCCCAGTTACTACAGTCAATAATATCTGCAGTAGCTTTATGTCTAGCACAACAATGTACATCTTTTACTAAGACTATTTTGTTAGGGCCCAAGAGAGTTAAGGCCTTCCAGGCAACTTACCCAGCTTCAATCTCTGCCACCACATATGGTTTTCTGAACAACACTAGGGGTTACTCCTGGGCATAGAGCCAGGAAGATCCCCTGGGAACAGCAAGATGTGACCCAAACTGCACCCTGCTCCCCCACTTTTTCTCCCCTGCCACACACACACACACACACACACACACACACACACATACACACACACACACACACTTTTTTTTTCTGCTGATAAATGCTATCTTCTGAGCAGTTGGGAAAATGATATAATAATGTAATAATGGCTGGCTTGATCAACAGAGGACTGCCTCAGTTTTCTGTTCATAAAAAAACACAATATCTTGGGGATCCAAGGACTGCTTTGCAAAGTGTGAGGTCACAGGCTCAGTCCCCAGGCCCTCTCCACATGCACCAAATTCTGGTGGCACCACTGTTTGTGTTCCCTGGGACCACCACAAAGTGTGTCATCTCCAGTGCACCACAATCAGGAGCATAGTGCACTGAAGGTCAAGGAAATAAAATATTTCCTGCAGTCCACTTTGGACTTTAGGCTCAACCTGGATCTCAACCTGGCAGCTACTCACACATGCTGCTTTGGTCTGCCTGTTGCCTCACCCAGAAACCCTGCAAAGGGGAATGTGGACTCTTGCCTCCTGTTTATAAATCTATGCATCTCACTAGAAAAACACAGAAGCCAATCAACTATCATTCTGGAAGGATCTGTTCAGTCAATACAAGGATCTGTTTGGTCATACTACCACAATCAACTCTGCAATACTGAAAGAGCGGGAACAACTCTGCTCACAAACTGGGCTCACCCATAGGGCACAATGTGGGGAGTAGTTTCTCTTTTGGCTGTTGCCATCATCTGTGATGAGGGTAAAGACACACTCCAGCCTAGGGCTGAGGATTTGGAAGGGACTAACCTGGTTGGTTCTTGTGCAAAGGATCTCAATGAGCACCGACTCATCTGTGCCTAGACCCTTCATGGCCTTGTGCAACTGCCGAGCATCGTATTCCCTGGGCTGGTCCAGAAGTGCCAAGGCTGTTTTCTCGAAGTTTCCACTCAGCTCACTCTTGAGCACCTCCTCCAGGTCCTTCAGGAAGACAGTAAGAGAGCCCTTATTGAATGCCCTGCCACAGAAGTATGGTGGGATGGGGGAGATGGGGGGTGGGAGGGATACTGGGATCCGTGGTGGTGGGAAATTGGCACTGGTGAAGGGATGGGTATTTGATCATTGTATAATTGAAACCCAAGCACAAAATTTATAAGTCTACAACCATACCTTATGGTGTCTCACTAATAAAAAAAAAAGAGAGAGAGAGAGAACCCTTATTGGCAAAGGCATGTGGGGGAAGTCTGCTATCAATACCACGGGGCCTCGGGGACATGCAGAAACTTTCTGGAGACATGGAGAGGCTCTATAGACACAGGCATCCAACTCTGGAAAGCAGTGGTCACCCAGGTTCACCTTCATCTTCCCCCAAGGCTGGTTGAAGGGCAGAGAGAATCTCAGGGCTGGAGAGTCCCAAGAAGAACCAACCAGAGTATGAGCATCCAGAGTTTGTCAGACATTTTAGGGCTCCGAGAACTTTTTCATTGATCCTCAAAATGACTCAGTCAGTAGAAGTATTGGCATTACTTCAATTATTGAATCTCACCCCTACAAAATTCATCTAGAAAAGACTGAATAGAGGTTTTCGAGCTATGGGGATATGATAGCAATGATCTCCCCAGTGGGATATTTGAGGAACAAGTTGCAGGGGAGCAGCAGGGATAAAAGGGACTATTCTGTGCAATCCTGTAACATTGGGAATCCTCTTGGATCCTGAGAGGGACATGTGGGGGTGGGGGAATATCAATCATGGTAAAGAAGCTCACAGAGTTTGCATGGCCCCAGGCAGTGCACATGGCTGGTCAAGGACTGCAGGTGCCCAGCCGCACATGATGATAATGACAACAATTCCATGCTAAAAGGAACTTTCAGAAGAAAGGAAAAATTCCCCTTTTTTGCATGATTCTGGGTACTGAAACTTGGGTTTGAATAAGGTAATGCTCTTTCACTGAACTGAATCCCTGGCTCCCTAAATGACCTATTTCTTAATCTGCAAATGCTCTTTGCCTGTGCTATGCCTCCTGCTCAAATCAGTGTTCTTTCTTCTCTCCTTCCTTCCTTCCTTCCTTCCTTCCTTCCTTCCTTCCTTCCTTCCTTCTTTCCTTCCTTCTTTCCTTCCTTCCTTCTTTCCTTCCTTCTCTCTCTCTTTCTTTCTGTCTTTCTTTTTCTTTTTTCTTTGTGGGGTGCATACTTAACTATACTCGGAGCTTGTTCCTAGCTCTATATTTAGGGAGCACTCCTGGCAGTGCTCAGGGGACCAAATATGGTGCTGAGTTTCAAACAAAGGTAAGCTGCGTGCAAGACATGCACCTTAACTACTATATATTTCCCCACCCCCATTCTGCCCAAATCAACTATTTCTTAAGTAAAGCTGTAGCCTCTGGACGTGAGAGAAAAATCCAGAAGTTTGGCACAGACTCTAGAATCTGAAATCTTAAAGGAGTCTTCGGTGTTACTCCCACCCCCCCCCACCCCCACTCACCCAATCCCATACTTCTGCTCCTTTTCAGCCTATATCTCACGAAATCCTTGTGTCAAGCCTCTGGGATATGGGTCCAACCAAAGAATGGAAGTCCTTCTTTCAAGCCAGATGGGTATTATATTGGACAGAGGAGAAAAGAAACTCCAGCTGCCTCCTCTTACAAGCCACAAGTATGGAAACAAATCTTTGTGTGTTTACACTGAGTTTCAGACACAGCGGCCCTTAGAATACTGCAGCTCTAGCCCTGTTTGCTTGCTAACAAGCTGCATCCCCTGGAATGGCTGTTCTCTTTGAAGTCCAGTTGATAAGGGAACATTAATCTGGTCATTTCTTACATCTTACTTTGTGATGGCCCTTCTTGATCACCCTTTTGGTGACCTCAGCTTTCTGAAACACAACTGAGAATAGGAAACTAAGCCAATGGTTGACAAAGTTCTGTGCTGAGTTACACTCTACTTTTTTGCAAAGGTCCTCACTTCAAAGCCAAGGCTCTTATTTCACAGTAACATTTAAGAAGTCTGGCGTTCATTTTCTCTCTTGAGAGGAGGATTTTCTCTCTTGAGTCAGAGGATTTGTGGAGCTACTACCATTAGGCACTTTGACAGGGATCAACAACTAGTTAGATACAACTGAACTAGAGTGGCTTATTTTCATCACTGTCATCAGTGTGTGTCATTGACAAGTTAGATTTCAAAGAGAGAAACAAAAGCTCTGCAAGGTTGGTTGTCTGGCTGGGCCTTCAGAGTATCAGCAAACCAGTCGGAGCCCGGTGTTGTACTCTCCGGGAGCCCACAGACCCTGGAGCCAGAGGACCGGGAATGGAGCCCTGGTTCTCCCACTTCTTCAGAATGTGATTGTACCTAAGTTACTGCAGCAGATGAGCTTCACCTTTCCTTTCTGCAAAGTGGAAACCATCAGACCCAACATGGCATTCCTTTACTGAATTGGTACACCGTTATCCTCCTTGGTTCTCCCACCTGCACCCGCCTCCCAAGAAATGAAGCTTTCATCAGTATTGTTCTCTTTGTAAGGGGACCCAAATGTAAAGAGGTGGTTGCCTGCCCTATGTCAAATACAAAAATTTATCTCTATATCTGTTTATACACATACACAGAGTAATCGTAACTATAAAGGTTTTAGAAATATGGGTTTGAATAAGCGATAATAATTGATATTTGTTTTGCATAATGAGGATTCCAATGGCACTAAGAGAAAGTTGAATTGTGTTCATTGTGTGTTGTTAAAGATAACAGGGCCCTAGTGCTGTATATAGAACAGCAACAGAAGGAAGGGAAGAAAAGAGATGTGAAAAAAGAAAAAAAAAGATGCTGTCACTTAATGAAATGGAGGAGGGTATGTTCTGGTTTTCTGAAACAATCACTTTTGAAGACTAGGTAATTCTTGAAGGTGGCTGAATAAGTGAAGCATTTGTAAATAAAGACTGTCCTCTTAAAATTGATCTTTAAATCACTATTTGTAAGTTAATAATTGTAATGAGTTTAGATGAGTGGAAAAAACATAGAAAGATGAAGTCTATTTTTGAAAAATGAGTTATAGAATTTTGATTTTCTAGGTTACTAAGTTAAAGCAATTTTAGTTTTTCTGAATTCAATTTAAGTTTTAAGTAGTTTAATTTTTTTCCTCTTGAATTAACTCAGGTTTTGAAGACATTTCCTGCTGCTCTCGTAAAATAGAGGATGCTGAAATAGTCCCGATCAAGGGCACTGTCAATGCTCTTTCTTATGACCTCCCGACTCACCTTGCCATATGTTGCCTTGTACCGTTGCTTTATTTGTTGCCTCTCATTCGATGTCCTGCTTGATAAGATCTCAATGATGGCTGCTTCGTCAGTTCCTAAAGGAAGGAGAAGCAAACAAGGTAACAGTGAGAAAAGACAAGATGGAGGTTGCTTTCCAACAAAGGTGGAGACTCCGGGGTGATGATCAGAAACTGGGGTGAAACACGTATGGGAGATTAGCTTTAATCTGATGACAACTTTCTCTTTACCCTGACTCCACAAATGCTTACCGAGACCTCACATGGAAAGAAGACAGTACCGGGCATGTGATGGGAAGAGGAAGGAGCTCAACCTGTTTCTTAATGTCTCTCTTAGATATATATTCAAGAGAAATGAAAATGTATGTTCTCATATAGCTTGTAAATGTTTGTAGCATCATTTGGAAGAGCCCAAAGAAAAAAACAGCCCGAGTGTCCATATTGGCACAAGCGGATCTACAATATGTGATATATGGAATATGATTTGACCAGAAAAAGAAGTGAGGTGTGTCATGTAATGAATATTCGATCAAATAGGAACCAATTTTATGGCTTGGGTCTTCATAGGTTATATCATAGACTATGTGCACCTGGCTTGTGCAATAAACTTTATGACGTTCGTACAAGAAGAAAATCACCTCACAACATATTTCTTCAAACACATTAACCCTTAAGTAGTGCATAATTCTATATGATTCACTATATTAAAACTCAGATTAGGGAAATCTGCAGAGATGCAGAAGAGATTAGTGGCTGGAGATGGAGCTGGGGAGAGAATAGCAGATGATAGTTAAAGTGCAGGAAGATTCTTTTGGAGGTGGTGAGAACATTCTCAGTTAACAGTGATGATGAATTGACACATCTATGAATACATTAAAACCATTAAATTGTTCACTTCAAGTTAGTGAATTGTATGGCATGTAAATTATATTTCAGTTAGACTAGTTTGTTGTTGTTGTTGTTCTTTTTTGTTTAAAGCACCATGATTTACAAAATTATTGACAGTTGAGTTTAAGGCATACACTATTTCAACACCATCCCACCATCAGTGTCAGCTTCCATCTACCAGTGTTCTATAAGCCATCTATCTCCCCTACATCTCCCTTCCCCCCCCCACACCCTCTGTCCACCCTACCTGGCACCTTGACAGGCACATTACAAAGTTTGGTGGTTGCAGCTTAAATTTCATGTTTTTAGTATTGGTCAGCCAATGCTTTGGATGTATAGCTATGCCACTCTCCCGCACCACCAATATAACTGATGGTGATTAGCTCCCCATTATTTCCCTTCATGGTTCCCCATTATTTCCATTTCTCATCTTCTTCCTTCCCCCTCTTGATTCAACCAGCTAGTTCAAACACACTCATCAACAAGGAAACTGAGGCACGGCACTTCTGCCTGAAACTCTGAAATAAAAGGTTATCTAACCACCACTGCCCTATCCAGTTATTTTATATACCTCAGTGAGAGTATTAAAAAAAACTAAATATAAAAGAATCCTTTGTTCCTTAGTTTCCAAATACTTAAAGCTGAAATAACACAATGAAGGTATCAGCACCATTTGCGACAATATCAAGTCAGCCATGAATGGGTTCACCTCAGAAGACAAGTCCTCATTAGGTACCTGCATGGTGGCTTCTATTTGTACTCCTGTAGCACATTTAATAACCCTCTTTTGTGCATGTGTTCTTCCCATGATGTAACAGGTTGCTGGAGGTCATTTGATCAGTACCCTAAATTGTCATGAAAAAGAATGAGGGAAAGTTTCCTTTTTGGAAGATGGAGACAGGATAAAAAAAATTAAAAAAAAATTAGCAGGTATTGCTGGTGAGGGCATGAGAAAGTCAATTTAACCAGCAAATCCTAGATTTGATTTCTTCAGATGAGATCCAAAACATAACTCCATCCTTAGTGCCTTGTCAGGATTTAGTGTCCTCACCTAGAATTACAGTGAAACTATAAGAAGCTGTTGTGGGAAGGAAATGAGAGAATCCTTGCAGGTGACCATGGTGTCCCTGAGTGTGCCATTCTCCTGGGGTTGCTTGTCCCAGCGACTGAGAACTTGAGGAACATAAGAGAAAATTATAATAGCCTGGAGGAGCATAAGAGGCCAGCTGGTTCACTCATTGGCAAGGAAGCTGAAGCATGACACTTCTGCTTAGTTCCTGAGTATACCTGATAGTTTGACAGTATTTGAATTTGTTGGCTATTCCCTGCTTAACTGCTTTGCATCTCTCTGGTTTCCCCTGTCCACCTCTCCTCCAGCTCCCTCCCTGCATCCTCCATAAACCACACCCATCTCTCACCTCTTTAACTCAGCTTATAGTTTGCCTTGATAATCAAGGTTCCTGTTCCTGTCCACAGTTCAGTCCTTCTCTCTGAGTTCAGTCCTTATTTCCAGATGCCTGTGGCCAAATTCCCAAGGCATTCCATGAAGCTAAGACTGAGCTCATTTTGTCTGTCCTCAAACCCGGCCTTACCTTGTTACCTTATCCCCGTGTATGATATGACCTGAGTTAGAAATTCCAGAGTCGCTTTGGGAGGCCCATCTTCCATCTCCTTGGCTTTCCAATATGTCAAGTCCCATCTCTCACACCTACAGGACTCTGACCCTTTCTTCCTGCTGCCCTGGTCTCGTGGGCCCTACCGTACCAAGTCCCACCCTGCAGTTTATCCTCCATATTGGGTCCAAGTCAGCTTTCAGAAACACAGGTATGCACATTTCACCCCCTAATTAAAATACCTTTACTTATTCTCCATGATTCCCAAATTAGAATTTCCTCCTGTGGCATTAAGATTTCCTGTAATTTGATCTCAAACTTCTTTTCTGCCCCCATCTCTGTGCAGAACCACTCCACATTCTTTTGTCAGGAGGCCAGAGCCTTTTATGACTGCCGAAGCACTGAGTTTTTGCTTCCTCAGTTTGTCCGTGGAACATTGATTTTCCATCTCTAGGACTGAGGCAGTAATGATATGAGATTGCAAATTCGACATTCTGAACTGCATAACTGCGAACATGCATAACTGACATTCTGAACCTGGTGTCTAGGCCACAGGGCATTGATGCTATGTGGTAGTATGCACTATCAACAATAGTTTGCTTCTGTGACATTCCACCAAGGGTTACCCAGAAATTAGTCCAGGGTTATTGAGAGACGAGGGAAGATACTAAGAGGCTGCATTTGGGTAGAACACATTTTTTTCTGGCATATACATTAATTCATAAATATATATGTATATATTGCAATATCATATATATAAATACATGCATATACACACATGCATGTGTGCATACACACACACATACATACACACACACACCCCACATCAGTTCAAGGCAGTTCCCTTGCCCTGATCTAAAATATTGGTTAGATCTCTTCCTGTTGAAATTAGAGTTCATTGCAAACAACCAGCTGTTTGCAAATTGAGATCTCAGAGGAATTGTTGCACCTCATAATTTCTAACTATCTTCTTTTTTGACATCTGCCATAGGACCTGGGATCCCCACCATTGGAATTCCTTAAATAAAGCTATTTTTTTCTAAAAGGCACTACTCTGAATTAATGCCATACAGAGTAACATATGAAGTAGGGAAAAGTTCATGGAGATCACCCCTTCCCTAGCAGCCCTCAGGTACTTGAAGCAGATGGTGTGGAAAGAGAAACATAACCCTTGGAGGTAGACAGAGCTAGGATGGTTGGGGCACACTTGTCCAACACTGCAGCAGATATGACTTGCAAGCATTTAAGTGGTGCTGGATTGAAGTGAAATGTGCTCCCAGTGTGATAGGTATATTGGATCTCAAAAACTTGCCTAAAAGAAAAGTGTCAAACATCTCAATAATTTATATACTGATAATTTGTTGAAATGTTTATTCTTGGGTTAAATTAAAAGATATTGTTAGAATTTATTTGATCAATTTGTTCATTTTGGTTTGGGGGGCCACACCTAGATGTCCTCAGTGCTTATTTCCATTTCTGTGCTTAGGGATCACTCCTGGCAGTGCTCAGGGACCTGTTCGTTGCTGGGGACCAAACCAGAGTCAGCTGTGAGCAAGTCATGGACCTTATCTGCTATACTTCCTCTCAGGCTCCTATCAGTTTGTTTTTACTTTTTTTTTTTTTTTTCGAAAAATGGGGCTTCGGGCCCTGAGAGGTGATACCTTGCTCTGGCTGATCTAGGTTCAATCCTTAGCACCACATGCAGTTCCCTGTCAGGACCCAAGAGAAGCCCTGAGCACATTCAGATGTGGCCCAAATGCCCTGTCCCTAGATAGGGCTTTTAGGAAAGCCTAAATTCCATTTGTGGTCTGCCTTATATTTCTGCTGGGCAGTGCTGCTTTGACTCTCACTTCCATTATTCATCTTTGAAGATAATGATTGAGTCATTTGATCCCTAGAGTTATGAGAGTATGAGATGAGAGGCTGAAAATAAAATTTTATGTTCAAATACGAGCACTTTGCTCATCCTTGCCCACAACAGTATGTACATTTCTACAAGAGGTGCATTAGCAGAAACTCCCATCTGACTCTTTTTCCTGTCCTGTGATTCTTGGAGTTGCCTACTGTTATGGGTGAATTGTGTCCCCATAAAATGACAGTTTAAAATTCTAACTAGTACATAGAAGAAATATAAAATAAAATAAAATAAAATTCTAACTAGTATTTGAAGTATCTGTGACTTACTTGGAAAGAGGGTCTTTGTAGAATTCATCAAGTTAAAATGTAATCATGAAATGGGACATGCTCCACTAAGACTAGTGTCCGTATGAAAAAAAATAAAAGGAAATTTGGACAAAGAGACATACTTGCTCAGAGATAAGTTGTTGTGAAGATACAGAAGGAGAATGCCAAGGAGGATAAGTGATTGGAGAAATGCTCATAGAAATCAAAGAATATCTATGGAAGCTGGCTTTGAGGCTACAAAAAATCAAGAAAAAAAAAAGACCAAATCTCCCCTCGCACTTTTAGAGAGAGCTTCACTGGTTCACTCCTTGATTTTAGACTTCTGGACTCTAGTTTGTGACATAGACATTTCTGTGGTTTGCCTCCAGTTTGTGGCACTTTGGTATAGCTGCT